CTAAGCAGACTTCGAGTAAGGATCCTGCAATGATAGAGTTATGCAACTCCATCCAGCAGATGTTTAGGTCGAACATGCATTCTAACTCCTCCGAGCGTCGTCCTAAATCTCCTCAACGCAGGAACTCACGTGGTCGATCTAAGTCCAAACCACGTTCACTGAAAAACCCTGACTGGTGCTGGTACCACAACACCTATGGCCAAGAAGCGAAGTGTTGCCGTAAGCCTTGTAACTTCGGAAATGTCTCAAAGTCTGCGGGAAACTATCCCGCCGGCACGCGTTGGCGCAACCGTCGCCAGTGGCACTAGCCGCCTAATTTACATCCATGATGTGATAAGCCAGACTCGATACTTAGTCGACACAGGCGCCGAAGTCAGCGTCCTTCCTGCTACAGCAGCAGATCGACAGAAGGAACCTACCTTCAACTTACAGGCTGCAAATGGAAAACCAATCGCAACCTTTGGTAGGAAATACATCTGTCTGAACGTAGGTTTACGCAAACCTATTCGATGGATTTTCCTTCTCGCTGACGTCACAATGCCCATCATTGGCACGGACCTACTTATTCATCACGATTTACTGGTAGACGTCCGCCGAAAACGACTGATTGGCAATACTACTAGTCTGTCTATCATAGGCATCAGCTACATAGGCCCCAGCTTGTCACCCGTTAAGATAAAGGCAATCATTGATCCAACTTTTCAACCTATTGTTGACAAATATCTGGAACTTAATTGCCCGTCTAACGACCTACCGTGCATAGCCAGCAATGTTATACACCACGTAATTACCTCAGGACAGCCCGTGACATCTAAAGCGCGACGACTGGCTCCTGACAAACTGAGAATCGCCAGGAATGAGTTTGACCATATGCTCACCCTTGGCATCATTCGACCTTCGAATAGCCCATGGGCATCCCCACTTCATATGGTTCCAAAAACGATAGCAATGATTGGTGACCCACCGGTGGTTACCGGAGAGTGAATGCCAAAACAACCCCTGATTGCTACCCGTTGCCTCATATACACGACTTGACGGCAACATTATCTGGCGCGGCTATATTCTCCAAAATCGACATGGTTAGAGCGTATAACCAAATCCCGATGGCAACAGAAGATATCCCGAAAACGGCTATCATTACGCCTTTCGGAATTTTCGAATTTCTACGTATGCCATTCGGTCTCCGAAATGCAGCCCAGACATTCCGACGCTTCATTGATGAAGTATTTCGCGGTCTCGACTTTGTATACGCATACTTAGACGACTGCCTCATTGCCAGTCCAGACAAGAAAACTCACCTTAGGCACTTGGACTTGACATTTGAAAGGTTACACCAACATAATGTTACCATTAATATTCAAAAATGTCAAATCGGTGTTGACTCACTCGACTTCCTGGGTCACACTATTGACTGCAAGGGCATTCGCCCACTGGTTACTATGGTCGAGGCTATACTGAAACCGGCTTACTTGGAGGTTAATCCTATTAGCATAGAGCTGAACGTACCCCAAAATCCACAAGTAACAGAAGATCGTTTAGACATCGATGAAGTCACTAGCGCAGCGACAGCTACCGAACCTTCTATCGAGCCTCCTAAGAAAACCCGTTCTGGACGCACCGTAAGGTTCCCAGAATATCTGCACACTTATTTGACTTAACGAAGTCGTGTGATTCACGCAACTCATTCGTTTGTGGTACTGACAATTTTTTTTCACGTATCAATTTTTTTATATACAGTACCACCGAACACAAAATTTTTTTTCAACAGTTCATGTAACATACACAAAAAATTAATTAGATGTATTTTTTTTCGATGTTCTGAACTTAGCATTATTTTACTGTATAGTAAATGCACATCATTTTTTCTGAACAGAAAAGCTGATTTGGTACATTTTCCTAGACATGGTTCTTAGCGTTCTTGTTTTCTTTTCCAGGTGCGACGGGCACTGGACAGGAAACAAACGAAGCACGGAATCCGACGAACAACAACCAGGAAGCTATGTACAAACACCCTATTAGCATAGGAAGACAAACCAGTTGGCATACGACCAAGCCGCTCGGAAGATTTTTTTCACCCGAAAGGGAACCATCGAGTATTTTTCACTTCCGGCTGGTTCTGTCTTAGGGTCCTCACGACCCCACTAGGGGGGGAGTGAGCTGTAGCGGTAAATAATTCCCCAAAATTATTGACCACAGCAATCACTCATTGGATGCTGACCACCACTGTTTAAATGGACTTTTTTAGCTGAAGGCTTCCGGTCAAGCATCCCCGCCTTTTGGTACCCCGTCGTGCCACGTGCACGATCACTAGCTAGCTAAGCGTTTGTCTGAAGGCTTGTTCTGGTCCCAAAATATATCTCTTGGTTTGGACGATCAAATATTGGCTTTTGCTTTGTTGTTGGTACGCGAGAATAAATAAATTAGAAGTTGCTGAACGAGATATCCGACAACCTCTAAACCTCTAATTAGGAATTTGTAGAACAGATTAATTAACTATTGATCGGATCCTAATGGCAGCCTCCGTTTGTTTCGCGTAGAATATTTTTCGCTCCTAGTATTGCAGATTAAAACAAGCAATAAAGGTTAATAAAGCAGGATTTAATGAATTCATTAAATTTCGGTAGAACTCGTCAGCTGAATACTCTACATACACGGATATATATACTTTTGAAATTACGTTGGGAGATATAAGACTGATAAGTAAACAAACCACACTGAATTAGTCATGCAGAAAGACACGTGCGAATGTTTTCCAGGTCATGTTCAAATAGATAAGGGGAGGGAGAGTATGGGAGATCAAAATTAAGATAAATTGCACTACGCTTCAATTGCATCACTTAGATAAACAATTATTCATTAGGGAATATAACGAGAATTGCAAACAGACTAATATCAATAGTAATAGTCATGATAACAATAATAGTAATGGTGTTGAAGTGATTTAAGATAATCTTATTGATAAAGCATAGTTTTAAATGAATCAGGAATAATAATAATGATAATAATAATAAAAACAATAATAATAATAAGAATAAGAGGTAGAATAATAGTAGTAACAAGTAGAGAATAATAAGTAAAACGTATTACCATGGTAGATTCAGAGTCACGACCATCTCCTTTTGCATACAGGGAGCTGGTTTATAGATTCGAATTGTACAAGCCTCTGCAATTGCAAGCATCTTCTTGTTTCTTTGTTTGCTGACAATGGTGAATGACTTAACTGCGTCGATATCATGTCCGTAATCCACAAGATGTTTTGTTATTGAGGATTTTGGCACTTTGCACTCAGCTATTTTCAACCATTTTGGCAAATGCTCCATCATGCGAGTAGACAATCGCCTCTCCGTACGACCCATGTATTCGCTGCCACAAACACACTCAAATTGATATACGCAGTTTGAGGTGTCGAGGATTGGCGACTGGTCTTTCCCAGATTTTTGAAGCACTCGCTTGGTCATGTTAAGGATAACAAGTTTTGCAGCATAATAAGTTCTCTTGATTGCTTTTTCGAGTCTTCGTTTGACTACTTCCTGTAGGTCATCTCCTTTGAACGGCAAACTGATATAGACAGGTTTCTTCGGAACTGTTTGAATTGTTTTGTAGGGGGTAGTTTCTTTAGACTATTTATTAATGAACTTCTCAGGATATCCATTCTCAGATAAAATATCCTTCAGAGATTTTATTTCATGCTCAATAGTACTGTCAGAACAAATTTTTTGTGCTCTATTGAACAGTGTTCTAAGTTCTTTTTGTACTGGATTGGAGCAAAGCTCTTGAAGTGCATGTACTGTCCTGTCCATGAAGACTTTCTAAATATAGATCTTTCGACTGTGTCATCATTCATTTTGGCTAGAAAAATGTCTAGGAATTTAATAGTATCGTTTTCCTCGTGTTCTACTATGAAGTTGAGATTTGGATGGCATGAATTGAATTTTATCAACATGTCTTCCGCTAATTCAATGTAGTTTGTTTCCTTATCAGTCTTATATCTCCCAATGTAATTTCAAAAGTATGTATATCCGTGTATGTAGAGTATTCAGCTGAGGAGTTCTACCGAAATTTGATGAATTCATTAAATCCTGCTTTATTAACCTTTATTACTTGTTTTAAATTCGTATCGGGAAACAAATACTGCAGATTAGCTGATACGATTGTTTCAGTCAGTTGCCCATTGTGTTCTCAAGTCCTTCTTAGTATTATTACGGTGATGTGAAGAGGACTGACATTCTGCAGCAATGTACTGGCACATTTAAAATGTTTTGTAGGGACTAACAGCAATCAAGCTAGCCGATAGTTGGAGTTATTTGCCATTCTCGTACCTAAATATTCTGCTTGTTTGTTTTAATACAGTTGGTGCTATGCTCTCATTGTCTTCAGGATTTATTCACCACCCATTCTTTCACTCTTTTTCTCGTGTTAATAACTAGGAGTAAGTTATAACCAAGTGAACTCTAAGTGGAGCTCTACATCAACTGCCAACATTTAGATGAAACTGGACAACAGTGTCACCCTTTGACATATTTTGTTTTTGTGACTAAATATTTGTTCAAAATACCATTATTTGTAAGGTGCACAAACTTCGTTGTAGCTCAATGTGTCTGAAGAATTTCTGAATGGCTATCAGTTATTGTTACAATTTTCCTTTCATCTCGCATACGCTATTCCATCTAAACAACAGGACTGTGTACATAGAAATGCCACATTATTTATATAACTTTTCTGCTATTCGCGTTCAGAACTACAGTCAAAGTCATAATGTAGCGATCATTAATGTTACATTTCCAAAAATATGCCTATCTTTTTACATCAGATAGTTGTTATATGTTGACTTGCTATTATGCCAGTTAGCTTATGTTGAGATACAAATACAACTGATTAAATTTTCTATTAATAAGTCTAGCAACTAGCAGGAATTAAGTTTAAAACATTTTGTTTTGCATTCCTTCCAGCTAGTCTTCATAAATGGTGTATTATTTCCGCATTCATAGAAAACAGTTTTACGCATGGATTTTTTTATTTTTAAACCTTCATCAAATGACACTAAGAAGTATATTCAGTAATTATATAAATAAATGAAGTCATTGTCACGACTTTATTACACATCATACCGACGACGATGATGAGGCATCTCGAACTCTTTGAAGAAAGATACGTAAATCTAAAATAGGACTGAGATAAAAGTCGTCTAACTTACTCTGACCACCTGTCCCAGAAAACTTCAGTGATTCTATCCTAGCTGCCTCCGTCTTCGCTGGTTCAATAATGAACCTAATAATATTTAGTTAAATATAGTTTGCGTGAAGTAATTTTACCTGTTCACCAAAGATATATGCGAATTTCGGAAATTCCACAATGATTGTAAACAGTCATTATAGGCTGTTTTGAGACGAGGAGACTTGCTTTCATTTGCTACATATCAAGGTAAACAAAATGGGAATATTACTCAAGGTTAAATTTAAGTGAAATTATTTTAAAATACACAGTATCATCCAGAAGAAAGTGCGCATGATCAGTATTGTTTATTCTGAAAGATCTGATTTATTCTTCAGGACATTTGACAGTTGCTGCGTTTGGCTTCTTGGCTGGTGGATAGTATTAATACTCAGTAATGTTTGAACGTTTTCCGGTAATTTACCATTGATTTGTGAAGTAGACTACTCTAGAAACAATGGGCAATCATGAACTCTGTATGCTATTTATTGCCTACCGCATTCAAACTTATTTTCGCTCAATGAACCTCGCGTATTTTGTGAGGGCTGATGATACAACTCAGCGGCCTAGACTGGCGTGGGTGGAAAGAAATTAGAACATGGGACCCATTAAGTGGAAGTCGAGGGTATACGTCAATGAGTAGCATCTCCATTCATGTGTGCTGTGATAATACTTATGTATCCTAAACTTTTGTAGAATAAGCAGACTTTGATCGTGTGGTCAAGAATATGGAAAAGTGGAATTAAAGCCGGTAGTTGAACAATTTGAAATGCCAGGAGACAATTTTCACTTTCGTCTGTGCTGAAAGAAAGTGGAATCAACATATTTGGGTAAACAGCTACTACTACATAATTCCACTTATGGTCCGAGGAATGTATGGTCCCTAAATGCATGTTTATGTATTTTCTTCCTTCGGAAGGTTTCCTGATTCAAATAATACTTGACTTAAAACTACCGTTCAACCCTCATGATTGCTTTTAAAACTTTGGTCATTGTGGCTGCTGTTCCCGAATGTTCATGAATATTGAAAAAAGGTGGTGCCTGTGTTCACTAGACAGGGTAGTATGTGAAATCAGGTATTTGAAATGTTAGGTGATAAATATGAGTGCTACGGAAAATGTAAGTGAGGCATCTTGGTCAGGACGAAACACGGTTTTCACATCTCATTAACATGGAAACTTCTGTTTAAAGAGTTTATATACCAACAGAATTGAATTGTGTGTGGCGAGAAGTGTGAACATTAAATGCTCATTATGCATAAACTCATACTCACCTATAAAACGAATACGGCTGCAATTTGCTAGATCTTTAAGAAACTGCCGATGTTCCTTTATCATGTACGATTGCATTTTGCGCAAGAATTCTTCATCTTCTACAAGAATATGAATAACGGTATATTATGAATACGAAATACTTTCTTATCACTGCCTTTAAACCACAAGTAACTGGCTACTTAGATATGGGGATAGCAATATAAAAGCGTCCAGCAGGATTATATATGACATGATCTACTAGGCTACTAGGACACAAGAGTCACTTCTTGCATTGCATTTTTATGGTAAAAACGGTGGCTACTGGCTTTGGCGTATCATGGAACCACCACAGCTCACTGCTATGCATATTTATCCAGTTAACAATTGTCAGAAGCGTACTCTGTATCATACCGATGGCCACAACCCAAAACAACTAAGGCGAAAGTGAAAATCCTATCGTGGGTTTCGTTTGTGACGTTCGAATTTTGCATGGAGCCTATCAGTTTAATGCATAACAAATCAACAGGAACTTACAAATATAAATTTATAAGGTAAAAATGTAAGGGAAGGATAATGAGTCTGTTGAACAGAGAAGTGATTATACCAGATATATTTCCTAACTCCTTAAGGGCTTCGAGGTGCTGTGAAGTGACATTATTTTGCTGACTACGTTCTATGTGATCAGATGATATGGGTTACATAATAGAGTCTACCACTATAGGTGTTGACCTCGCCTAGTTAACCAGCCTGTCCTAATCCTGGAAGCAGATCGAAAGTTGGGCATGCGACTAGCGATCCTAACCCAAAAAATCAACCCAGTTTCTGCAGGCACTACAGTAAACAAAAAGTATGAATTTATTCTTCGCTAGAATCTGAGAAACGGAATGATGTGGATTGGTGGAAGCATATGGCAAGCCAGTCAGCCGATGTGCCTTATTTCGATTAAAGCGAAAATAACCATGGGAACATGGAAGGTCCACACGATATTCTGAGTTTGGAAGGCTAGCCAGATTGCCAAAGAGATGAGAAGGTATGGTATAGAAGTGCTGAGAATCTATGAGAGCATATGGGGTGGGCGTAAACTGTGAAAATTACTGAGCGGAGAGTCAATAACTCACTCTAGTCGTCCAGACATTGACACTGAGGAAGTAGATATCACAGTGTCATCAACAGCATCAAAGGCTCCTATGTAGTGGGAAACAACCTTCTCCGGGATAACGACAGAATAATTCAATTCAAAAGACATAGATGTTACAATCGCTCTATGCTACACCCTTACAAACAACGCAGAATAAGAGGAAAATGGAGATTTCTGCACACAGATACGAACAGCATGTTGACGTAGAAATCGTAATGCGAGATATGAATTATTAAACTGGGTGCAGATAACACTGAAAGGGAATTCATCATGAGTCGAGAGACTGTCGGTGAAATGAGTCAGGAAGACAAACTCTACACAGACGTCTGCTCATTGAGCGGTTCGGTGATTGGAGATAGTGTGTACGAGCGCAAAGACATACAAGAAGCAATATGGGTTTCATCATATGGACACACCAAAAATCAGACAAATTCCATGTTGGTCTCAAGAAGGTAGAGACAGTCTGCTGTACACAAAATCGAGAAGGGGCTGGATGTGGGCTCAGATCACTATCTAGTGCAAGGAGACTTTAAAGTCAAGTTGAAAGGCTTCAAACAAGCAAGGGGTAGACCAGAATTCAAGTTTAACACTCATAAACCCACGGATGAAACTAGAAAGGACACCTTCATTGCAGTCATCAAAGCAAAGTGAGAGACATTATGTGGCATCACCGAAGAAATGTTTGTGGGGAACATCAACTCTGAAGGTGGTACTGAAGGGAACTTGTTAGCTGTTTTAAGAGTGGAGAAGAGTTAAGGAAGTGGATGGCTTTCTACGGACACGTGGAAGCAAATAGAAGAGAGAGAAGGATGGCGTTGCAGTAGGAGAAGAAGCAGAAGAATAACCAGTGCAAAGGTGGAAAACGGAGGGGAGCTGAGTTTAGTGCACAAGGCGCTGAATGAAGAAGAGTGCCAGGAAAGACAAAATACAATTTTACAACACATTGGTAACTGAGGTAGAACCGGCTGCAAATAAAAGGGACCTGGGAATATTATATGAGAGAACAGGGTCCCTATCCGAGAAGAGATCAACACAGATGAAAGAAATGAAGGATAGTGAAGGGAGCCTAATTACCCAAGAACAGAAATAAAGAAAGCGGTGCTAATCACTTCAAAGCACTCCCGAACTGACCCTCACCTAAATTCGGCCCAGAAATACCATCAGCAAACACAGAACTGTCAGGGAACGCCAATCCTCAGACAAAAGCATAAGTCTTGAACACCATGAAGTTACTGAAGGACGGCGGGATCAGACGGTATTCTTCCGGATCCACTGGAAACCGACCTAAGAACCTCAGCCGGTATATCGGCGACACTGGTGGAGAAGGTTTGGGAGGAGGTACAAACTGATTGGGATCAAGGCTACCTGTTCGAATTACCACAGAAGCGGACCACATAGGAACATTGAGAAGACAAAGGTCAAACAACAACAACAGAAATGAACAGCAGTCACCATAAATGTCAGGAATTTGAAGGAAGTCACTTCTTCCACTAATCTTGACAGCATTGTTTTAACTAAAAGCGTCCCGGATGAGGATGTCAAGGCCAGGATTGGAAAGGCGAGCCGGACCTGCATTAATCTGCAGTCATGTGGAAACCTGTTCGTTTAGTATCAAGAAAATGGTTCGGATTTTCGACAGTACGTGTCTATGGGTCAGCACTTGGTGCTTGCGTCATGAAAAGCATTTTAAACAGGCTTCAGAATTTCATCAACAGATACCTTCACTCGATACTGAAGATCAGATGACTAGAAAGGATTAATATCACGGAACTCCGGCAACCAATCAATCAATAATCTACTGCCGAACAAATATGCCAAAGAGATGGAAATTGAGATGGCTTGGACACACGCTGAAGAGACCGGTGAGTGACATCGCGCGCAGGAGTAGGATCAAAAAGGGAAACTACCAGTTGGACATGGGTCCGAAGGGGACATGGTGGACATCGTGTGAGGAGGACATGAGAGTTTGTGGGCGATTGTGCAGCCAGATAAGGAGGACTGCAGAGAGCAGGATGAGATGAAAATGTGCTGTTGAAGCCCTATGTTCTACTCAGAACCGGAGAGAATATTAATACGAAACTGATTACGGCTGTTACTGTGAAAACAGTGCGCTATCATTCGAAAACGTGGTGCTGGTGCACATTGTTTCAAAATTCGTATTATCATTTTCAAATTTAACGCACAAGCGTGTCAGCGGAAGATTTGAGGAATTCATTGGTACCAATGAACTCAATAGTACCTCATTCACTTAAAAATTTAGGTAACGTTTGATTTTCATCTAGGCAAGAGACAGACGTCGCTGAGATAGCAAACAATACACGGTCGGTGAATAGTAGAAATCAAAATCAATGTCAGTTAAGAAAAAAGCCTGTTTACCTGGGTTATGTTTAATTTGAAGAAGTGCATCACATGTTTGGAGAGATATTGACTGCGCCGCACTGGCACCGATACAAGTGCGTCCAGTACCACTTTTTGTACATGTTTCGTTGTTAGTGAATGGGCAACCATTCGAAACAGACATTCCATCTTTGATTTTCCCCTGATGAGTGCTGGTCTTGTACACCAGGCCCTTATCCTTAAGTCTTCCACATGTCCAGCTAAAATGTAAGCAAACTACTGTTTAAATATTAGACCCATGTGAGTTAGAAAATGACAAAGATGTTATTCCTACAAAACGACACTTGGTCAAGAGGTGAGATAGAACACAAAGCCAAAACGCCAAGTGTTTGTATGCTGGCTTTTGCTTTTAATTTAGGTTTGTGCCAGCCATCTATGCACGACTGTTAGACAGGTAAAATTGATAAGTGAAATGCATTCATCACTTAATAGTGAGGCATACATGTACACACAAGACTTTATCAAGTTGTAAAACCTCAGAGCATACTACTTTTCTAATCGAAAAGAGAATTTTAAGCATAGGATATCAATTTTGGCTATTGGTTAATCCAGGATTTACTTCCATTTCCCTTCTGATATTTACGCATTTTGACCAATTTCCTTCTGATTAATAGCAGGAGTATTATTATTTGCCTCTTATGATATAGACATCCAAGTATTACACTAAATTACAATGTTTTAATTTCAAGGTTAATTAATGGAATCCATGTACTGCAGGTTTCATTGCATTTGGAACTTATCGACGAAGCATAATCAGTTCCTGTTTAGTCCTGTTTCACCGCACGATTCATCATCAAAGTCAGGTTTGTTATTCAGGTAGGAAGAGATGTAATAACACTATCTCTTCGTGATAAGAAAGTCTGACTCGCCGAGCACTTTAAAAGGCAGTCAATAACACACTAAATCTTCTGGGTAATATTTGTTGTAGTATGCGTGACCTGCATCTACTCTCAACTGAAGTTATGGAATGTGAACCAATGAAGTCGTTTACACTGACTGGTTGGTATTATTATGCATCCATCGCTGTGATTTCAAGATGAGGACGTTTTGCTATTGAGGCAATCTTTTTATCAATCCCTTCTTATAACAATTGTTAAATCCTATGTGCAGAGTATTGAAGATTGGAAGTATATCTCCTTTCGGTGCACTTGTCTTAACTAATGAAAACTGATAAAATCAAGTAAATATCCACAACATCCATCAATGAAATAAGTCTTACCCAGAGAGAATAGGTCTTAAGTGCACATAAAATTCTTCCGGGTATAGTTTACCTGTTCAATAAAATAAGTGTAAATTAGAACGATTGTTTAAATTAACATACATAAATACTATTACTATTATTATTATTAATGCTACGAAGGTGTGTATGTGTATGTGATTGCATTACTAAGTCTTGTAAATGCAGACTTGAATAATTACTGATGAAACATCCTGTATCACTATATTGTCTATTGACTTGCAATAGTAGCCAGTTAATTATTACTACTTCTCGATATTTTAATCCATAAAAGTTAATAGCTTGTGATTTATTAACTAAAAGGCATAATCGACCTGTTATTCGCACGCACCACTAGCAACTTCTAGTCACAGAATAGTATTGATCATTCGCTTGGCTTTGATTCACAAGATTAGAATCAGGATATGATTACAGTTATTTGTAGTAGTATTAGTATGAGTAGTAGTAGTAGTGGTGTTGGTGTTGGTGGTGGTGGTAAAGAAGATACCAGTGAAAAGAAAAATAGTGTAATGAGTTAAGAGGAAACAAATTAGTCTTTAAATCCAAAGGATAGAATTTTAAAGCTTCCAATGTGCCAAACTGGTGGTGAATAAGTGGGCCGCATGCTGAGCCATCACCATTTTTTGGGTGACGTTTAATTTGGTTGGAAAAGAATTAGTGGTGGTCAAAAGAAAACGTGGCACAAATACATAAATTCACTGATCGTTGGCTGTTATAGACTGTTTGAATGAGGCATTGGAAATGTTCGTAGTCAATAGTTTGAGACTACTGTTGATATAGAATACTTAACATACATGGCGACATCCTTAAACATCTTCGGAATTCTGAACACTTTCAATAATCCTCATGAAATTATACTCTCTTTCTTTGTATTCACATTTATTTTCATCTATCGCTTGTCATATTCATAATGAACTGATAATTCAGATATCAAAGTCATAAAATGACAGGGTTATTGAACATCGCCGAGATAGTAAGGTGTTGCTAAGCGACTTGAGATGCATAAATGCATGTCAGACAAATCTGCAATAAGCGGAGATATTGATGCATATCTTCTCCACTGTCTCAGATTCGAATGTAAACGTACAGAGCTACAGCATTTACAGAAGGACAGTGAAAGCCTGATTCGGAATTTCGAAGTGTTTGTTGTGTGCAGAAAAAGCTAACTAGATAATGTGGTAGGCCAGACAAGAAAGTTCCAGTGATACCAGCGACTTTAGTATTGGTCTTATGACAGCATGGAAAATCGCGTTTGGTGTGAGTACTCAATGATTCAGGTTAGTCACACTGAAATGAATCCCTACGACTATCCTGCTATTGACTCCCCTCTTTAGAGTCTGATGCTTGTGAAATAAATACTAGCTCAGACGAGTTTTTCTAGTAATACATAGTGTTCTCAGAATGATAACTAATTTCAGCGAGAATTAAACTCCTGGAAATGGTTATATAGGTGACCGGTAAAACGATTATTTGTACAGAATTAAAATGTTACGACATCAGTGGGAGGGGGGGAGACAGCTACGAGTTCAGTTTGCTTTTCTCCGACCACTCAGTTAGAAATAGACGTATGAATAATGATTACAATATAAATATTTTGTATGATCTACTCTAACTCACCGTAAAACTTCATAAGTGATTTCCTGAACGGTAAGAATTTTTGAACTATGTTTTCTAGGCTTTCTGCAATTCTCTCTTCATCCAAAGGATTTTGAGCTTCAATAGCGTTCATTACTTCCTAGTAGAAATCAAGCGAACAGACGTTGGAAGCACTTTTATGATAGTTTATGTAACTCATATTTATTCCCTTCGAATTCGGGAGTGACTTGTAATTTCAGAATGCAATACCATACTATAGTTTTGCTCTGTGTGTGCGGCTTGTCACTAAGTTCAACTTCAGTTGCTCATCTCAGAAAACTAGTAGAGTTATCTCTTAAACTTTCTTGTCGGAAAAACACCAGCTGGAGAATCAGAATTTCACTGGCAGTTTTATCAACTCACTGCCCCAAGGGCTATCCATTTGTTCAAACTGAAGTGTCGCAGCCACTTTAACCATAATATATGCTTGAATACATTCGGAAGTGGTTTCCAACACGCAACTAACGAGCATATTTGAAACTCAGTAAACCGATGTGCACATTTGTACAAACAATACATTTGCTTTACAAGGACACAGCATTATGTGAACAAGCATCTGGGGGAAATTCTGGAGACTTCTAAAAGTTCAACGGAGATTACAACGCATATCAGTCGGTTATGGAATGACAATCAATGTGCCTCATGAGTGCTTCTAGCTGAATGAGATTTTTCAGCCATGCCCGCTGACTAGACTTTATGCAGAATGCATATTAAAATCGTTATCCTTTGGTCCTGAGTGGAGTATATTGGTATTGACGGGAGTTCTTGCTTGCTGATGGACTTTTGCCTACATGAGGGTATCAGACACTGCGTGACAGTGTGTCCAATCTAAGTTGTAAAACTAGCAGGCAGATTCCGACCACCAAATTTGTGAATCAACAGCTACATTGGTTGTATCATAATTAGCTATTTGTGTGGTGCTTTATCCATAGATACCAATAAAAAGGCATGACAGTTAAAGCTCAAACCACCCACAGTCAGCCAGTCACATATTTTAAATGCTATAAAACTCCCATCACCTTAAAGCCTAAATTTAAATTAGTAAGAATCATTTATAAGCAACTGCAAAATTATGCTAGAACTGTCATTAATATGGGTTTTTCTATAAGCGTAGGGAGCAAAGTTTCAGTTTTCAACGATAAGACTTTGAACGTAATAAGAACTTGTTCAACTTATCAGCTAACCAATCTATTTAGACAGTAAAATGCGGGCAGGAAGTTGAAACAAGAAAATCCGAGTTATTTTGCCAAAATATCATTCATCATACCTGTAGTATTGGTGCAAAGTATATTTCACATTCTCCAGTCAGTGTGATAAATGCTTCCCAACTGTGGTGAAATGTAGGCCTGTGTACATCTTTCAAAAAGCTAAAGAGGAAAACACGAATGTATCAATAAACATAGAAACGGGGAGAGAAGAAGCACATGTTTATTTTATTTTTGATTACAGCTTGATTCCACACCGTATTTTTGGTACAGGTATGAATTTTTAGCGTGGATATCGGTAGCCCAAATTTTGCAGGCCGACCATAGATATCATGTGTGCGTCGGCGTGGGCTCGAACCCTGGACCATGTGCATGGTCGAGATTTTAATCGGGTTGTGAAAATAATACCAAGACAGTTAGTAGAAAAATGTTAATAAAGGCAACAAAGCAATGGAGTAAATAGAAATGTGAAAAATACGTTCGGTCATGGTAAGTTCATTGAAGTCAAATCTAAATTTTGAAACATATATCAGGCCATGTAATGGCAACACTCCTTGTTTTAATCACTCTTATTTTTTTTAGAATTGATCCATCAAGCTTAGCTAAATTCTCCTATTAACTCTTTCAGGGACAAATCATTGATTGTAACTATACTGAGTTCACCACAGAAGTTAATGGCTTTGTTAATATAGCTGTATTATTCCAAGTTCTCTAATTTTAGTGTTAGTAGAAATTCCTTTTATTCGTGGTGGGTGGAAATCATTCTTATTGCGTGTACTAGGTGTTCTGTGATTCTCTACTTCCTCCATGTCTGTGTATTTGGTCTTCAGGCCTGTCATTATGAGCAACCGTGTTTTAAAAATATATGTCAGCTAGTTTATGAATTACAAACACTCATTCGCTTTGTTAGAGTACTTAATCATCCGTGAAGGTTAACAGACACGGTGGGACAGTCCGTTTACATCAGCCTGGCTTGGGGATCTGTGAGTAAAATCAAATAAGGAGATCAAGTCTGCCATAATTACTTTTTAAGTAAAGATGAATAAGTATAATAAAGAGTGGACATTTTGTAACTGACATCCTCTTGTTTACCTGAGTGAACAGTACTTTTGTTCTGAGGTTGGTTCTCTATCTGCCGAAATTGCAGGTATCTGGTTTAACCAAAAGCGCTACATGCAAGATTAATTAATAACCCACTTCATCTTCAGATAATTTTTAAACAAATATCAATCAAGTCCAATTCATACTATTGCCAGTCCTGTAGACTCTTTGAGGAGCCACACAGTGTTAGACACACGTACACACTTAAGAAGACAAGATAACAGTAAGATGAATCCTTCTGTTTTGTCTGTGACGCTATTACGTAACACATTCCGAGTCTATTGAGGGCAGCACTGACTCCAGTCAGAAACTCATAACTTTAGGTCAAACTGAAAGATAGGTTAATCTTATTACAGAGCACATAATACTAACAATCTATAAAAAATACTTGTCTCGTAAAACCAAATCAAACTAAAATTAGAAGGTTAGTATTATAATGGTAGTTTTTGAGTTGTCAGTTAGGCAATGAGAAATTTAAATATTCGTTTACGTTCGCTTAAATTATAAAATTCCTTCCTTGTATTTCGAACTATCGAGGAAATTACAAGATTTCCTTCAAAGCCTATTTTGTTAAATGATCTAGTCTACATTGATTATGTCACTTGTATTCTGAAGTCCTGATATGCTCTGATCGAGGAATTCTGTTCCAATTTTTAAGTCATAGTTTATACACTGCAATGGTTGTGAAGACTTAATAAACTTAGTTTGGGCTGTCACATGTTGTCGAATTTCTAAACATGTATTCGCAGATTCATTACCGGAAAAATGCCTTACAACACTCTTTGATCTTTGTGTTCATAACGTGCTGTTAGGCAGTGTTATGTTTATTTACTTTTACTAAGTGTTTTAGAATGTGATTATCAATCCGATTAAACGAGCACAACGATGTCATACACAGTAATCCGATATTGGAAACTAAATTAAAATGGAAGGGAACTATGGGCTCAGATCTCATACTTGTTTTCAATTATCTGTAAGCACAAATATTAACCTCAGGCAAGTCATAATCTCTTAGATTTCCGCACAGGAATGATGCAATTAAACCGTCCACCACTTACTTGTTTAAGCCAGAATTGATAAATTCAGTATATTATTGAATTATTTAGAAAAATTCGTTACACTGCAACAGTCGATTTAGCTCAGGTTTACAGCTGGTTTACAATGCATTCATCCTAACTGTTATGGACTTTCTAACCAAATTTTATTGTACGAAATTTGTGTGCTGATCCACACTGTTTCTTCTGGATATCAGCAGAATACCAACTAATGTGCAGAAGTAGATGGGGTTGGGTCGAACACACTCTGTGGCACTGGTCAAAAGGTTAGTGTTGAAATTAGTATATCAAGTTTCGACATTTCGAAAATTCAACTAAAGATTTAACTTCTCTTCTTCACTAGTGTAACTGTGAAGCCTGAATTTAATCGAAGAAAATGGTAAACCATTTGTTATTTATAAATGAAAAAATACATTTATTCTAAGAACAAAAGGTAAAGGGGAGTACCTGCCACATTTTGATTCATTCGATGACGTTGATGGAATACAGTTGCACAAAACAAGATCGGCATGGGTCAGAATGGGTTGTGAACCCAGTTTTTCAGAAACACTTAATAATGGCTGTGCGATCTGTGCTGGTAGTGACTAAAATGAAAAGGAAAATTATTTGAATGGGGTATTGACATAAATATTACTAATAACAATTTAGTAAGCCTGCGTCATACTAATTAAACAGAGTATTTGGGTCTGAATGTTTGTCCTTGGTATTCATATCGTTTGGCCTGTAAAACCAAATAATGCAGCTCTTATATAATTCACGCATTTATTGCAATGCTTGTAAGCTTTCTTTGTGTTCTTTTATAGGGTATAGAAGGGTTAGAGCATTGACAACCGCACTGACCGACCCCGATCAGAATGATGTACCAGTTCGAATCGCAGTAGGAGTATGAATTTTCTAAGGCCGTCAGCATGCCTCACTGATGCGTGGTAACAAGAGTAAAACACACTTTAAGGATGACATTCTGTCGATCAACATATAACATCAAGTTGGGTTTATGCACCTACTTTTAATGCGTAAAATGCTCTGTAGCTTGGAGAAACTGTAGTACATGTTACTAAAGATATTGTTTTTATAGAATTAGAGTTGAATAATTTTCTCCTTGTTGCTATATTATGCAGCGCACTGTTAACATTTTCAAGTTAATTTTATTAACATTTTAAATGTTGAAAAGGAATGAGAAATGAAATGAAATAGATTTTACTTGCTTCGACTTCCCCACCTTCTCCATCCTGCCATACATAGACTGAGGTTATAAAAGCAAGAATTTTGTGCGCCAGCCTTAGTTCCTCGTGACTTTCCAAACCGTTTACATCTAAAAGTGGCAGCTGAAAAATAAAGTGTGCATTAAAATCATGAGACCATCGATGACAGTAAAATCAGTGGGCTTATGTTGATATAATACACAAGTGTCTTAATAATACTGCGAACGCATAGTGAGTTCTGCTAATAGTGTGGTTTTGCACCATTTGCCACATATTTTGTGAGACTTTCACTTACTCTTTTTGAATTTACGAGGCATGAAATGTCAGTAGAACGAAAGAAACTCTGCAGCATAAAATCGTTTATCGGACGTGAGACTGATAGAATACTCAATCGTAGTCTTTAAACCGTCGTTCACACTAAGCGTGGCGATTCATTGAACTCAGTGTCAGTCATCGCTGACTTCTTTCTTTTCGTTTATTTATGACACCGTGTGATTTTCCTTGTTGATATCTTACCTGACTGTTGTGATTTGCAGTAATTTGATGTCATTTATCTGATGAAAAATATTTATGTTCATGTGTTTATTTTGCCAGTAAATTTATGGTTGTAGCCATGTACAATTAAAAGTACCGTGCACATTGTACAGCCTCAATGAAGATCAGTGATGAAACGACAAAGATATCAGTCTAACGGGTAATCCAGAATTAGAAAATATTGTTTGACGACTGAAAAGATAGTGAGCTTTGTAACAGTTAAGTGGTGAAAAATAAAATACAAACTAACTATAAGTGCTTTAGGTTAACTTTCTTTTAGATACATTAGACTCTAAAGAGGGAATTATTATCAAGAGCTAATGACAATACCACCATGTCTGTTTCGAAACATATAGAGCATGACTAAAACCTGTGTCATGGCTTGGTAGCAGAAAGAACATCCTGACAAGTTGCATGTGCATGTGTGGAGCATACTGCACTTCATAATAGGTGCTTCAGGCAAAAACTAGAAACATCTGTAGATTGGTTATCATTCCTTAGTGTCCAGAATCCGATATCTAAAGACGTTATACAGGCTGCCTGATGCTCTCGGTACTTAGTATGTTAGTGTGAAATTCGACAGATATTTCACTGGTAATGAGTGCCTTCCTTTCGGCGCTTGGTGACAATAACTAGTTTTCATCTAGTTTAATCAGTCGAAGAAGTATACCGAAGGTACATTCTACCGATGTCACGCCAATGCTGACATACATATAAACTAAAAAATTAACAGAATTGGTAAGCAGACAAACCAAAAATAGCAGACGCTCACTAATATTCTAGCGTCGCTGTTCAGTAGAGACTGAATTCCGTTAGCTATGATAACGTTTTCAAGAAATCACGTGCCTTAATCAATTCTATTCTAACAAATTTAAGTGAAATTGCCAGAAATTTCACCAGAAATCATGAAGTAAACTGATGACTGAGTTGAGATTATAGCACAATTTAAAGTAATTACCTCACTTCGATCAGAGGCATATGTCAGTTTCATAGAGTGACAAATAGTAATATATATCATTTGGTTAGCTGTGTATAATAATAATAATAACAGGTTTCATAGTTCTTATTCCGTAAGATTGTTGAAATTTTCGGAATTTGTTTCCTGTTTTCTGCTTCTTGTTGTCTTAAAACTCCTAGATATCCAGGACGATGTATACAATTACAATGATGAATGCAGGTTTGTTTGATAAACTGTTCATTCAGCTGTTTAACTGCATAAGTCCCGTCGTATTTTACAAAGGTCTAGTCATTCAATATAGTTTCACTCCACAATGACAAACAGAGCGATTTAACGAGATTACTTGGCTTAATTAATCACTGAAACTATGACTTTATGGAATAAAATTATGAAGCATTTTCAAATAAGTAGTCAAATAATTACATACCGATTCTACTTCGCTTCTTAACTTCCTGTTTTTTGAAAGCTCCGGTAACTGTCCAGCTATTGTGTTCCACGCTTCCCATTTCAGAGGAAGTCTTTGCTAGAATTCGGTGTGTAATAGTAATAGTAGTACGCCCAACAAACCAATGGATTTTCCAGCATTGCCCCAGTTACTCGTGACAAACGATACGACTCCAAACTGTGCATTGTGAATAAAGTAATTTCCGTGCAAAGACGTGTTAAAGTAAACTGGTGAGTTATCAGTGTTTGTATTTTCTGTCTATTTATTTGCACAGAAATATGCTGAAAACTAACCGTCTTGATAATTATCCAATCAAATATTGACGGCATATTAGTTCAAGTGACAATTGATACACAGACATATATACACTTCGTTTTGCACGTGTCGTGAATAACACACAAACAAAATTTTACAAAACCTATTTCAGTTATAATATAGATACATTTTAATCTCATAATAAAGTTCACAAGACATCCGCATAATTCACTAATTAGTGAAAACAAATGATTTCATGGTTCGTATAAAAAGATTACGTAAACCAAAGTTAAAGATTAATATAGTCACTTCAGAATTGCACAAGAAATTATAAGATCGAAAAAATAATGACAGGAATATTTAACCCAGTGGCAAGAAAGAAACTATAAAGCAAAGTAAACGAAATATAATTGTGGGTATGTAGGTGCAGGCAGGTAGTTTGTTCTCTCTTTGTTTGCTAAAAGATGTAGCATGGCTGTCAAGGTCGTAATCTCCGCCTACGCCCCCACTGACTGCAGTTCAGATGAAACGAAGGATGAGTTCTACCAAAAGCTGTCTAGTTTGGTGCGAAAGGCTAAACGCTCAGACATAGTCGTTCTAGCTGGTGACTTTAACGCTCAAGTAGGGAAATTGTGTCAATCTGAGAAGGATGTCGGTGGCACCTATGGAGTTCCGTGCCAGCGAACCGACAACGGTGACCGTCTCCTACAGTTCTGTTCTGATAATCATTTGTTTCTTGTAAGCACTAACTTCAAACACAAGGAGAGACACTGTTTGACTTGGAGACCCCCTTCATCAAACCAACGCTGGACACAAATAGACCACATAGCAATAAGCTATCGTTGGCGTGGGTCGGTAGGAGATTGTCGCTCCTTCTGGAACACGTGCGTAGATACCGACCATGCACTGGTCCGCGCTCGGGTGTGCTTACGACTGAACGGACGTAGGAAACAGCTGGCGGTAAAACCATCACGTCCCCAGCTCGATCAGGAAACTAAATCCGTATTTGAGGAAGAACTAGCTAAACACATATCTGTGTTCGACAGCTGTGCTCACCCTGAAGAAGCTTGGAAAAATATCCAGGCAGCCATAGATACAGCTGTAAAAGCTGTGAATAAGGTAAACCCAAAGGTGAGTAAAAACCACTGGATCTCCACCGCCTCATCCGAACTGATAGATGCTAGAAGACTTATTCCGGCGAGCTCCGAATTCAATGAGGAGCGAAAGCTGCACAAGAGGAAACTTACGAAAAGTCTCCGCAAGGACCGTGAACAGTGGTGGGCGACAAAAGCCAAAGAGATGGAGAAAGCTTCGAGGATAGGCAACACCAGGCAACTCTTTGGACTCATCAGGGAAACGGGTGGGAGAAGACAAATCATCAGTGAGACAATCTCGGAAAAAAATGGCACTATAATTAGCTCCCAGGATAGACGACTGGATCGTTGGAAAGAGCATTATGAGGAGCAGTTTAATTTGCCCACAGCCACGCTCAACCTTCCGAGCATCCAACACCTCCCTGAATGGGATATAAACACAGGTCCTCCGTCACTAACTGAGGTTACTAAAGCTGTCACCAATCTGAAACTAGGCAAAGCAGCGGGACCTGATGGAATGACTCCAGAGGTATTTAAGTACGGTGGAGACAGCTTACTGTCCGGATTAACTGAGGTACTAGGCAGCGTCTGGGAATCAGAAGAAGTCCCATCGGGTTGGTGTAAGTCACTGATTATCCCCATATACAAGAAGGGAGACAAGTCTTCCTGTGATAATCACAGAGGGATTAGCTTGACTAATATAGTATCTAAAGTCTTAGGCTCAATAATCATGCGTAGACTGAGTGGTGCTCGGGAAGCACAAACACGAGAGAGCCAGGCAGGCTTTAGACCAGGAAGAGGGTGTATTGATCATATCTTCACCCTCCGACAGATTCTAGAACATAGGCATTCCTACCGGCGTCCAACAGTCATTATATTTCTTGACCTAAAGGCAGCATTCGACTCTGTCGATCGGGAAGTTCTCTGGAGATGCTTGGCTGTAAAGGGAATTCCAAGAAAATATATTGCACTGATTAAGGCACTCTACTCGTACTCATACAGCCAGGTGAGGGCTTACGGCGAGCTGTCATCTGAACTGATGACGACCAGTGGTGTCCGTCAAGGATGCCCATTATCTCCTTTTCTATTCAACTTCATCATAGATGTGTTAATGGACTTAACCCTAGGTGACTTCAGCGACTCAGGGATTGACTTGCTACCGGGGAATAATCTCGTTGACTTGGAATATGCAGACGATATAGTCCTTCTAGGCGAAGACGCTGACGAAATGCAGAGTCTTCTAAACACCTTGAGCCGCAATCTACGAATGTTTGGCATGCGATTCGCTCCCGCCAAATGCAAGATGATGTTACAGGACTGGACTACATCGACGCCTAGTTTAAAAATAGGAAGTGAAGTGGTAGAGCACGTTGACCGCTTCACTTATTTGGGAAGTACCATCAGCCCCAACGGGCTGATCTCTGACGAAATCTCAGCACGAATACAAGGGGCTCGTTTCGCATTTGTTAGTTTACGCCGACTCTGGCGTAGACGAGATGTTCGACTATCGACCAAAGGGCGGGTGTACTGCTCATCAGTCCGCTCCGTCCTCCTTTATGGTTGTGAGACCTGGCCACTGAGAGTGGAAGACATGAAAAGACTAGCTGTCTTTGATCATAGGTGCCTGCGTTCTATTTCCCGTGTAAAGTGGCATAATAAGGTGAGCAACATGGAGGTTAGGCGTCGAGTTCTAGGTAAACAGGGGAAATCAATCGACGAAGTCGTGAAGCTACAAAGACTGAGATGGTTAGGACATGTGTTACGTATGCCAAGCCATCGCCTCCCTCGACGAGCAATGTTAGCGGATATAGGGTCAGGCTGGAAAAAAGCTAGCGGCGGTCAAACAAAAACTTGGCATCAGTCAATGAAATCCACAACAGTTGGTCTAAGCCACGTAGGAAGGTGTAGACTTCCAGGCTGGGGTCCTCGGGACGGTAAAAATCTATGGTTGGAAACAATTGGTGACATGGCTCAAAATCGTTCTCAGTGGCGCAGATGCATCCACTCCCTGTGACTTATGATCTTCAATGAAACTGTTTTGTATTTCTTTATTACTCCTTTGTCTCACACCTCTGCTCACTGTTTCTATTATGCTTTTCTTGTACTTTCTTCTCTTGCTTCGCGTGCTACACGGAATGTGGCGACTTGAACTTCCGCACATTTGTGCAAAGTTCTATGTCGAAAACAGACAGACAGACAAGGTCGGTACTATACGGTGAGGTTGTCATTGCCTTCGAGAATAGTGTTTCCTGGATTCGATCATGAGATGTCTTCTTACTTAACATGTTAGCTTCTGATTAGTCAGTCTATATGCACTTAGGAAACAGGAGAATATGTATCTGTATATTTCTCTCCTCCAGTTTTGTTTAAGTAAGTTAATGTTACTTTTTGTTGTTAGCTACCCTTCAAATGGCGTGACACAGTGATAAGACACTGCAAAATGTGACCTTATTCGACCTTTTCGATCAATGAAAAGTGTCCAGTTGACAAGGTTAAATGTGCGTAATGATAGTATGGAGCGTTTTATTTGAACTTTGTTTTCAATACCATGTATAACATGTTTTTAGTGTGGTTATCTGGTAATTTATTAGTGAGAATTATTTCAATTCTCTTTGTTGCACCATAGGTAGCTCTCACGAACCGGTGACCTAGTAGATGACGCTTTGGCATTTGGAAAGATGGGTAGTAGGTTCGAGTCTCAGGCGTAACACCACCAAGTGCATCCACATGACGGGTCCCAATCGGAACAAGACGAGTGTCCTTGATTGCATCACTAGTCACCGCCAACCAAATTAAATCATGGTCTCTTATCCGTTTAGAACGTCACTCTCTAGAGGATTAAGCCTTTGATATGCATTCAAATATGACGTAGGCTACTTTAGAATGAAGCCTGCAGTAAACATCGTACGGTTTCAAATCAAGGACTTCAGTACTTTCGAGACACTACTCCTTAACAGCCAATACATACGGTAGCATTTGTCTTCCATCCTTCCCAATCTTTTCCGAGGCTTACTAGGGCCAGGATTCTGTGAGTTGTCAGATAACACTACTTCCAAAGGATAAGAGATTTCGTAACGAAGAATGCATTCATGACGAATATCACTCACCTCGCTTTACAAACAATCGACCTGACACGATACGTTCTACAAATTCTGGCAGTCGATTTTCATTGTACATATAGGTCACAGGTTATTACAGCTCATTTTCCGTCGAGACCCGAAAAGTTTCATTACTTATGGTATACAAAGTATTTTTTTATCAGTTCAGTGATGCCAAGTAAATAGACGGCGAATTCATTTTACGGTTAAACGTTGAATGATAAGTCGCCATCCATAAGACTGTCAGTGTGATTGAATCTTAGGAACAACCTTGACGTCAGAATTCCCAGATGCACCGATCTCCAGTAGGATATGCTTCTCCAACATTTACTCGGGAGTTACATCATGTGAAACATCCAGAAAATGAGAAATGGACGACTAGGTGATCAGTGAATCGATTCAGCGTAATGCAAGGGATTGAGAATAAAAGAGTGCTCTTCGTCTGATCAAATCATTTTACCTCAACATATTGGGAACATTTTCAGTCAAAACATCAAAGGAGAGCAGATACATCTGTTTACTAATTAATGTTGTAGAATTACATTGATAAAAGAATACGTGACATGTACTAACAGTGTTAGCACTGTTCAAAATTGTGGGGACTGGTAATATTATGAGAAGGACTCGATAGCTCCTGGAGAGATTTCACAAATTTATCAGAAAAGTGAAGTGTGAAACTATTCACAGAAAGTTCGAAAATGAGTTGGTTGGGAATTTCACATGCAGTGGAGTGAACATTCAAGAGTGCTTTTCATCTTAGATATTCGTTCGGTAAACTGTGCTTAGAAGGTAGTTCTTGGTCAAGAACCGCGTTGAAGTCATCTCAGTGAGATGCCCTGAATGACACTAAAAGAACAGTTCGTTATTCGGA